ACTATATCTCTATATGCTAATGGCTATATATCTTATTTACTATATGCTCCAACTTTTATTGTTTGTATTTTTGTATTATTATATAATTCTTTTACTTAGGGCGTGTTCGGTAGAGATTAAAATCGTATTAAAATTGAAAAACTAGCCGTTATTGTTGACTTTTATTAGACGAGTGGGACCCAATAACGGCTATATTTTCAATTTTAATTGTATTTTAAGTTTAGCCAAACATGCTCTTAGATTTTTTTGTTTTTTGTGAGGCTTACGCTTCAATCCGCCTCGAGGCTTACACCTCGCCTCATACAGAAAAATCGCTTCAGTACTTAGTTTCGCCTTTTTAAACCTTGGCTCAGATATAGAAGATGCGTGTGGTTGTCTAAAAGACTGGTTGACTAGGCATGCTAAAACAATAAATAAAGCATTGATTTATGAAGTTCTTAAGCAGAACTTCTTATGTATGCTATAGGTCATAGTCTCTCATGTGATACTTGTTTTACCAATTCTCTGAGTAGGTGCTAATTTTCTTGGATTAAGCTAGTTGGGTGTGCACCACATGGCTGCATAAGCATTTGATGGGTTGGTTTGCAATTTTTTTCAAAGAGGATTACAGTGGAGGTCCAGTTTACATATGTGAGAAGGATCATATAAATAAATTATATATGTGTGTCACTAACCTCCCAACCTTTGTTAGGAGAACAAGCCTCTTAGCCATGTATCATTAGACAGGAACGCACTAGCTTAATCAACTATAATATCCATAACTTAAAAGTTTTCCTTCTAAACATCCCGCAAGACCTAAATTTCACTGCTGCTCCCATGCCTGAGACTAAGTGACAGCTTCTTATTGGCCACGAATGGATCTGTACCACTGGTACCATTTTTCCTTTGCGGTAAAATCAAATTTGATTTTAAACTGTCAATAAATCAGATACGTCATATAGGAACTGTTAAATGTCAAATATATATGTGTGTGTGTGTGTGTGTGTGTGTATGTGTGAAAATAAAAGTATGCACTCTATATTTCTGCGCGTGTGCGCATATGCTTTTGCTTTTGTGTCTAGCGGCTTTTCATATCAAAATTCACCAAGTTATTGAGAGCTATGAGTTGTGTAAAGACAATATCAATTTCTTTTCCAGTGTTCTAGAATATCTCATGAAAGGATTCTCTTATAAACAAGTACGGACATAAAGTAAGCAGGCTGAAGAATAATTCTTCTATTTCCTTTCTGGAAAAAGCCTTGGAGCAGCTGTAATTTATAGGTGGAAGAAGAGACTGCTGATAATTCAGCAACTTAAAAATGAACGTCAATCTGTTTCCAACACGCTAGGTATTTACTAGAAGTCATGCCCTACTGTATGAATTACAGATTAGGACCTGCCTCCTGAAATGTAGATCAAAATTTCGGAATGCCTTTTCAAATGAGTTATATTGAAGAAGTCTATTCTTTTATGTTCAAGAAAATTCAATTCCAAACATATGATTCTATTTCTAATTTAATTTTAGCTCCCCTTATTGGATAACAAGACTTGGGGTCAACTGTTATGTTATCCTGTTGAGTGAGCATGGTCTAGTTTCAGACCCAGTACTTCGTTTCTTATTATTCAGACTTACTATTTTCTATTAATGATTACAAATGTTGGCTGAATCAAATTATTGGACTTCACATAGCTTTTGTTTTTATACATAAAGACCCTTTTTGTTTATTCTTTGATTTTAATGACATTCCTTGTTTGTGTAATCAACTATTATCTTGGAGTATACACCATTAAACATGAAGACGCAACTCTTGTCTTGGGATACTTATATGCAGTAATGCGTACAATACATATGTTTCGCATCCTTCTTTTCTGACATCTTATTGTGCTTTTTTGACGTTTCTTATTGCTAATATCTTTGATAGAACACCGGCAAGAACTCCTGGGAAAGATTGCATCTATTAGGGAAGTTGTACAGGGTGCACCGCTGAAAGCTGTTCTAAAACAACTTGTCTCAAGGACAGTTAAATCTGATTTAAATAAGCTTATTTCCCTAGTGCATCGGCCAAATGAGTCATTTTTCGTTGTACCTCAGGTAAATTCCTCTTTCACTTGACTGTTTCTTTTGGGTCAGAAAAAGGTTTTGCCCTATAAAGATTTATCAGTTCTGGCTCTCTATCATGAATATGCTTCAAGTAGCATTAGAGTGTTCTGAGCATTTATATATGGACATGTATTTTCCTCTTCTCTGTCTATATCCATACTAACCTGCTCACTGCTTATATCTATTGTCAATCATAAGCTAAATAACTGCAGTAGCTGTACCACCCGCCCCCGTCACTACCACCACCACAAAAAGTTTTAAGGATATGGAAACTATGGTTACTTATTGATTAAAGTACTTGCGCGTTGTGTATGATGTTGGGTGCTTTAATGCTATCATATAATGTCAGTTTGAGTGTTCTGTGATCATGTCAGAAATAAATATCTTGTTGCCTTTGGTTGCAGGCAGACAAGGTGACTGTGGTTTTCCCCATGAGATTCAAGGATTCTGTAGATAGCATTCTTGCTACTTCTTTCCTCCAGGTACT